TGTTGGTTTAGAGTTGCTCTTTTTTCTTATATAGTTTCGCGTAGCCGCAAGTGAGTTGGCCTTATCCCCCAACCTCGAGCTAAGTAGTTGTAAAAAGGCCTGGATTATTTGTTGTATGGATATTTGTTGGAAGGAAACGTGAAGAGAGTAAAGTTTAATCTCCAGATACCCCTCCCCGAGTAATCATTCAAACCCCCCTCCCTCTTATTATTTCAGGTCGTCCTGTATATCATAGCAAGTCCCCCTTAATGGTTACACGAGAATAAAGTTCCTGATTTTCGTGTCTTCGACGGGAATATTCATATATTTATTCCCTGGCCAAGGTCACAAGCTATTGTAAATTACTAATCAGAAAAACAAAGATTTTAACAACCAGAAATTAATAAAACGTCAAGAAAATACCAAGTCGTTCTAACCTTAAAGAAAAATATAAGAAATTGGTCTCATTTTCATGTACTCAAATCTCTAATTCGAATGAGAATTATCCATAACTTAAAAAATCAACAATTGTATGTAATTAAAATTAAGAGGAAATAATAGTGAATATCCAGAATATTAATTTTTTGTTCAATTATCCAATCATATATGATTTAATGCCTGTTGCCATTCGGGCGGAACAGAAAGAAAGTTTCATAAATTATCATTAGAATATAGGATCAAACACTAATGCCCACTTCATATTTCTTTTTCTATGACTATAATGAGTTTAACAATTCAGTCATTAGAAAAATTAATCAGTTTACCATAAGAATTAGCTCCCTTTTTACAATTATTTCAAAAATTTACAGTCCTATTGTTGAATTTTTTTATGTAAAACCTTTCTAAACTTTCTAAATTATCTTGTGCACCAGTAGTTCCTAAAATTCTTCATTTATTAAAATTAAATTGATCTTCCATGCTTTCTACATGAGCAGAAGAACAGAACAATATGTTTTTGGTTTATCTTCACTGTATCTATGAACCCGTACTCAATCTTTAAAATATCGTATCGTTTGATCAATATAAAATTTGTTGCGATTACTGTACAGTATTTGATAGATCAGATGTGACTTCATCTCTATCTTATTTTTATCTTTAGTTGTACCCACCTTCCGCTCAGGGTATGACTTTTGAAGATTGGATTAGCTTTTCGGACTTTCTTGATGTGACTTCCCTATGACCATCAAAGTCTTGATTTTACGGAAAGAAGTATCTTTATATGCTCAGTAATATGTTTAGAAGAGATGCTTCTGGAGGAAATACCCTCACCTTCGTGTTACCCCCTTCGTTTCTAGTGGTGGAAGAAGTTTGTAAGACAGATCACGCATCTGCCTCTGTCTTGTGACCCATGCCACTACTTCAAAGAATAAACTCACTTTTTTAATTCTTATCAAAGTATATCGAATAGCTCTAAATTATACCGGCGCTCCAGTCAGTAGAAATATTTTTGAGAGGCACTGACTCCTCTCAGCTTCAACTCAAAATGTGTGGTAGCTCATTCATAAAAGTAGACTCTACTTATTACAAGAAGAAGGGGAAATGAACTCCGCTCTCTGGGATTCTCCTCTATCTCAATAAAAAAGAAAGAGATTTCTAACTCGAGATGAAAAATATTATGATTCGAACAAAAAGTAAGTTGAATAAAAGTAATACAGAACATAGACTGCAAGTTTCGCGTTCCCATCACGACAACATAAAATTAACCTGAAAACACAATTTTAATTGATCCATTTCTCCGATAATCGATAATACAGATTGTCAGATATGTGAATTAAATTTAGCATAACCGAAATAATAATACTAGACTTAAATCTAACTTTACTTGACTCTAAATTCTCAATCGGGACTGCTCGATTCTCGCGACTCAAAAGGATGCGACAAAGCACGCAATTACATGGTTAACAATAGGCTCCTCAAAAACTCTATATTTCCTCAAAAATCCATATTAGTCGGCTCCGCCCCTCGCTCCACCACGTCTTCTTGCAGGTAGGACAGCAACAAGAACGCCAAAAATACTTAAATTAAACTCAAATTATGAGAGCAATGTTTTCTCCTCAAAGACTGAACCTAATAGTACGCTCGCCGAAAGGCAACTCTGCTCAAGTGTGAGCCGGTACGCTTCACACTGCTTGAACCTCAAAGAAGGTGGAGGGATTTCCCCGAATTTTGGCGAAAATAACTAGACTACTTGCCGTTTTTCCTAGAATTTTCATAATTCTCGGAATTCATAACATGGGTGATTCTCGACCCTGATCACGTGGCTCTAAATTTCCCAGTGATTTCGTTTATAAAGTCCGAATCAACTAAGTAATAATTCTGTATATATATTACACAAATTTTCGGAAATTCAAAGAAATTTCAATACATAAATTCGTGGAGATGAATCTCTCGAGCTGGACCGCAATACCAGTATCAAGGCAATAATGTCGAAAATTCATAAAAATCTTGACCATCTCGGGAGAATGTCCAGGTCGGATATTGTTCTTTACAATTTTCTTGTCATTGGTTGCCTGAGTAGTGGAGAATTTTCCTCTCCAGGTCGTTCCTCAGACTAGGGTGACCAGAGCCAAACACCTCTAGCAACTGGAGACATTGGATCCTTAGGTTGGAGACATCTTTTGCATCCGTCCGATTAGCATGGGCTCCGAGAGGGACGCTGTCGCCGGATCCTCCCTCCGATTCTCGTCATCGGAGTCATCTGGGCTGCTTCAGATCTCCCGAAAATATTTTGACCTCTCTTCGTCCCAATCGATCTCGATGTCGTGGATTTTACCCTGACGGAAGGTATTTTAGGACATTAAAAATGTTATTAGTGCCGAAAGTATAAGTGAATTTTCCTTCCTGTTACTCGCGACTGAGAGTAGTCTCCCAGAGGCCTTAGTCAAATTTTAATTTCCTTTCTTTAAATAAAGGACTTTTAACCAGAAAAAATTTAATAAGAGGCAAAAACATACAACTTGGCTGCCGACCGTAGTCGTCTGTGACTGTAATTAATGTCCTTGTGCCCTTTGCGTAATTACTGTTCTTCTACTGTCAAAAATGGTATGTTTACGCCTGCTGTTGACGTTCGTGGCCCATAGATTCTTGAAGTTGTTTCACCATAGAGAAGTATTGTTCATTAGAAAACTTGCGTATCATATTGAGTGGAACCTTTATGACTGGAAATGTTTGTACAACGAGAGATTATCATTTGTAGGAGCCCAAAAACTTCAAAATTATCGAGAATTTTCGTAGGCCTCACGCTTGTGATGTTTTAACATGAAAAACTTGATGCCTTCATTTGTTTGCTGGGAACCTTGAAGGAGATGCCAGATAATTTTGAAGCTTATGTGGTATTAGAGGGATTGTTTTTCCACCCCAAACGTAGGCCAACAGAATCACACGGTGAGACAAAACCCATAGTTGAAAGCGAAGAATTTCATATCTGTCAGTTTGTCGTGGGGTTCATACAACTCGATAATGTTTTGTTTTTTCCATAGCAACTACTGCAGAGAATTATCAGAAAATTATCACCATATAGCATACAGGCTGAACCACGTGAAGTTGAATGGTGCAATCCTATTAGTCGATATTGGAAACATAATCTTGTGAATTGTGAGAATTCCGGGAAGCCATTCCATAACTTTCGTTGGATATGAAATGTTGGTGATGTCGTGGTCCTAGCCAACCTACCGCAACTAATGGGGGACGCGCTTGGGATAGATATACTCTAACTGGCCTGTCCTTTCTTTTGTCAATGTTGATAAACCGTTGTTGACGTACTCCATTTCTAGGTTGCCGGCACCTTTCTTTCTTTGTGGCTGTTTCCGTCTGCCGTTACCATTGGGGGGTTGTTTAGTCAGCAGCTTTTCTCTTGGTTTTTACCTGCTAAACCTCTTTTAAGGCGTAATGGTGACTACTTGAGTACCTGCTCCGTAGTCCCTTTTATTGTGATCACTTGCAATAATCGATATTGAGGCTGGACATACCGAAATCCCATACTATTATATGAAGTTTAGTCCATCTGTTCTGTTTTCCAAACTTTTCCCTGATATAGAAACTCAACCGTACTAAACTTCGGTGTCCATCACAAAAGTGATCTATTCAAAACCATAAGAATTTCAGGAGACTTTAGTGTCGGTCGAATTTTAGGGGAACTTGAACCAGCAAATCCCTCATATTTTAAGAGTTATGACGGAAATTTTAAGAAATACAGCCAGCTTTTGCATTGTGTTACAGACACGCTCAACCGTTTCTCGAATATATCAACGAGTTAATTTTCGTATTAATTCGCGATTATTTGCCAAGTTATTCAACAGTTAACTGGATATTAGTTATTCAACGATTCCAAGAAATTTCAACAATTTAGAATCAAATTTGTACGCTAGGCCAGTTTCATGCAGTTACTGCCAAATAAAGTACATCAAGGTGGATTTTATTTAATAGTGTGTAACTTCCTTTCAACTTTATCTTTGCACCATTTCCCTCGAATTCGGCCTTATCCAAGTAGCTCACTAAAATGATGATTTCTAAGATTTGAGTTATCTGGGGCTCTTAACCGATCTTTTCTTTGGCAACCCAACTGGAAATTCCAAAAAAGAAGAGAACTTCATTGTAAATAATAGGAAGAATATCAGTTGTAACGTGGTATTTTGCCACGGATATGGTTTCTCGACCGGCTCGCGATTTTGTAGACTTCCACCAAACGCGAAGTCCCTTCCAGTAACGAGAGTCTCTTGAGAGGAAAGAATTATATTTTAATTTTATTTTTGTTTTAGTTGTTAATTAAATTAAATTTAAAGTGTTCCGTCTAAGGGCATCAGCAAGGATCCACGGAAAGCCGATAGATATCGCAGGCTATTTAAATATTGGCATGTAACCTGATTTTGAATGTGGCCGATAATGGAGCCACAATCCAGTCATCAACAGCACAGGAAGTGAGGCGATGATGGACACACGTGGCTGTATGGAGATCAGCAGATAATTTATTATCAGTTTTGATGTGAAAGAACTGTCTGTCCCAGTGTAGCAAAGGACGCAATAAATAATCTGGAAACACTCATTATTCAGAACAGTGAATTATGATTAAGCATCGGGGAAAATGAAGAGCGCATGCATGTGAATTAATAATTCTGTCGCACATACCCGATCGATTGGGATTAGTGGACGATGACGTTATCTCCACCAATTACATAATTTCGTTGCGTTACCTACCTGTTGCTGATTCTCACGTGTTCCCGAATATCACTTTCCTTCGGAAAGTCCAAAATGTTGGCAAGAGACGCTAATTTTGCTTGGAGGACGCCATCTCCATCGCTTTGGATCTTTTGCGATTTTTTGAAGGAGAATTGGCAATTCTAGGTGAGCGTCATGGCCAAAGTCTTGCTTTGTTATTTTGTGAAATAATAGGCAGAGATTTGTTAGTTTAATTGATTTTTTTAATGCTTCGTACATCCGAGTCCTGCAGGCCTTTTCGCAGTTTTCTATTGGAAAATCTCTGACCTATTCAATAAGTGAATTCTTTTCACTCTCTCTCTCTCTTCGAATTAATGATCTTTTGAAATAAGTTAATACGATTTAATTTAGTATGGTTTCTTCTTTTTTATGTTGTTAATTATGTAATTTAGTTAGTTTTGCAACTTTTGGTTCAAATAAATTAATGTCGTGAAAATTCATAGAAATCTCGCCATTGGATTTATTTTTATTTTAATAGCCCCAAGGTCTCGTGACCTGAGCAGTATTTGTGTACTTATTTTATGTAATTTCAAGTGTTCGAGGTCACGTAGACTTATTGATTTTAGGCGTTATTGTTTCAAGTCAATGAATCACTTTGACAATTTCATGTAAAATATTTCTAATCAAAACTTTTGACTTTTGCAACCGCTAACAATTGAGTTTCGTGACTCAATTGTTTTTGTGAATTTATTGAAATCGTTCGATAATAACGACTCGAGTCTCGTGACTCAGTTCTTCGAGATTTTAATAATTCTGCTTTCTTTGACTTTTAATTATTTATTTATTCATTCATTTTGAACAACTAATAGATGAATCTCTCAGAGAAATATTTGTTAATAACTTAATGAGACGACAGTGACTTGATATAAATTATATTGTATGTTTAGTAATGCTTGATTGATTTAAGGGGATTTTATTTATTATTTTTCTTGTATTGAGACTCGATTATTAATTAAAAATTGGTCTCCCCGGCAATTTCATAGTTCAATTATTTCTCTATTTTATCTATTCCAGTTGCATCCCCTTTCAGCTTCTATTCGATTTTTAAACTCTACGTACCGAGCAGCAAGGAAAATTAGAGGCTGAAAGTGGAGAAGGATTTTGAGTATTTGTCTTTGTTGCAGGTATAGTTTGCCTCAAGAAAAAGGATAGGATAGGGATCATGTCATCAAGAGATTTATCTTGGCGATCGAATGAGGAAGATCTATGGATGGGCGACAAACCTAGAAGAGATTCCATTAGCATGTGGGTGTAATGGAGTTATTCTAGTTTTTCGAATTCGTAATAGATTTTAAAGTTCTCTACAGGTAAAATATTCGAAATTTTGACCTTAATCGGAATGTATTTCCTGAGGAACACCAAACCATAAAATTATTACAAATACAAATCTTAAATTTTGTGAAGAAATTTTCTACATATAGTTTAAGTTTCCCACTAGAAGTGTTCGCGAATGTTCAGAAGTACTTCATTGATACCCAAATGAGGAGCATTGGGAGAAGAAAAAAATTCGCTAATCAAGTTTTCAGGAATAATGCCTTGAAAAATTAGTTTCGTTCAATCATCATTTCTCAATTGTAGCCCACTGCAAAAGTTACATCTTGAAATTAGAAATTAAATGAAAAATTTACTTCCATTTAGGGCGATATTTAGTTTTTTTTACATTAAATTATTATTTTCAAAATGGGATCTTCATTCTGAAGTTGAACTCAATCACGATTGTTTTTCAACTGACGAATGATCTTGAAAAGAATCTTCTTAGAAGAACCTTCGTTCGCCTTCCCACAAACTTTACGAGAACAGGGACGATGGAACGGTGCATCAGCTTTTACCTTGGAGGTAAATTTAATCCAATGAGTTATCTGATTGACTGGCTTTTTAAAAGAGATAAGCCCTTTGAAAGTACCACGATCAGTTCTAATGAGGAATTAGTAGAACATATTAAAAGACAGATTTAACGGGTTGATGACAGCCGGAAGTTCTTCTCGTGCGACACAGTATTTTTTTCCGAATTACTGAGACATCGATTCTAATATCCAATTACTCCAACACCATCATGTTTTTGTGAAAAAGTAGCACCGACTATGAATTAGGACGCATCAGTACCGAGAATGAATCTCCCGATACCAAAAGAGAACGCTAGGTAGGGGGAGATGTGAGGATTGTTATTGAGTCAAAGCTCTCTGACAATCTTCACCCGAGGTAAATGGGTCTTAACATCACTAAGTTTACGAAGAGGTTTGGCAATAGACGTGAAACCTTGACCATATCGACGATAACGGAAACGAGGACCTATGAAACTGCGAATGTCTGTTATATTGGTTGGATTTGGCCATTCCATAATAGCCATAATTTTCTCAGGAGAATTTTGTCTTCCCTTTTCAGTAACCATATGTCCAAAAAACAGAATCTCTTTTCAGAAGAAGAAGCATTCTTCATAATTGACTTTCCAATTGGCAGACGCAATTCGATTGAAGATGGTTTGTGGATTTTGATCGAGATCTGAAGCATCATCTAGATGAAGAAACAAATTCTCCAAAGAAGATCTGTAAGCATATGATTCCACTGCTCGAAAAGTATGGATGAAGATTGAAAAATATCAAGTAGATATTTGTGAAGAATTTTGAATACCGACCTCAGCTGTAGAAAGAGATTTTTGGAGGTAATCTCGAATGTCTGCGTTGTTGGCAGTTGTCCTTTTGTCCATGAATTCTCGTAAAGTGGAAGGTGAGGGGGCTAACTGTTCATAATCAGTGTTACAAGAACGTAAAAATGATTTCACCACTTCTGACATCAGGGTAAGATTAGGTAGGGTAAGGCATGTGGGAAAGGTTTAAGAGAAAGTTAATTTCAATTATAACAAGAACGGAGAATTGATTAAATAATCTAACAAGATCGGAGAGAAACACCAAGATAACCAAAGAGAATGATGCTGACAATGCTATGCTAAAATAAATAAACGACTCACCAGCTATAGAGAATACCTGTAGGTAGGTGTGAACCATGACAACCCAGCCTAAGGAAAAAACGCGGAGGCCATGTATACATGTGAGGCTGTCCTTGGCGGCCACTTCCGTACTCAATATTTTAGTACCATTCGTGATAGGGTTAAATGCCATGAGCGATTGGGCCCAAAAACCTAGTGAAATAAAACAGAAATTATTTAGTTTTTATTTATAATTTATTTTGGAAACACGACGACGATTTTAATTGATTTTAACGTGCAACAGTGTATCAAAAATTCATTGAAAATTACATACATGCATAAACACGTTCACGATTATTTCCGTGCTTTCAATAACGCCATATAAGAACGGGTAGAGCATCACGCAGTTTTCAGCCATACCATGGTATAAAATGGACATCATTTTTTCATTGAATTTAACCGTGAGACAATTAAAGGATCATCAAAGAATATTGAGCATTTCAAAATGAGCTCGAAAAAACGGTTGTAACACCTCAAATAATCAGCCAAAATACATCAATGCTTAAATATTAATACAGCATTGATTCAAGTATAATGTTTTCTAGGGCTATTTAAGTATAGGGACACCCATGCAGTGAGTAGCTAATGGCATGGAGTTTAATTCGGTAAACTTATAAACACTTCTGTTGAAATTCGTTAATAATTAGTTAAACGAGATAAATGTGCAAACATAGATGAAAGCGTAGGAAAAGAGGATCTTACTTCACTTAATCTGATCATTGAACTTTGGAATCAGAAGCTCATTTCATCAATACATCGGTTAGTATCGTATTTGTGCTCGTCTCTCCTAGATTCGCCCATTTGGTGGCGCGTTTGATATTAATCGTAATTTTTAATTCTGCCAGTTCGCGGCGCGTAATAAATTTGAATTGGAATCGGGTATTTTATTCTTGTGGATCGTTTTCTCATGAATCTCCTACTTATCGTTTATTTTTATTCAATAGGTTATCCTGCCCCGATTGTTCACTCAAACAAAATTTTCGCGGAATTATAAAAATGGGTTTTTCGTGAGGTTTTGGAGGAACAGGACGTAATCCTATCTGCTCCTGGAATCAATTGCTCCAGGAAGCATCTTGGCGTTCTGAAGATTTTCGAGGTTGCCTTCAAAAGAAGCGCATAAAAGCCACAGTAGGGTCCCCAGTGCGCCAAGTACGTTGCTCCTGACTACTTTTTGAACTTTTTTCTTGAATCCAGTTCTCCTATTCACCATCTTCCGTAGATTGAATATTTGGATTTTGCCATGCTGTTTATAGCAGTCATTATATTATATCTTGCATAAATCACTACTAAATTATACATATACAGGTTTGTGATGGAGTTTGACAAATTGGATGAATTGGCGTTTTATTCCTAGTTTATTTTGCAATTCGGCGCTCTGGGGTATTTCATTATATAATTTTAGCCCCTCATACATAACATCATTCTGTGCATAACATATATTCCTCCGAGGCAATTTTATGTTGCTTACATTTATCATTAACATGTGGTTGGTTTTTTTTATCATTTCCAGTATTAATTCCATCATTTGCGATTAAGTTGTTCACATACATTAGCACATTTACTTTTGTTTTTCAGAGAGAGAGAGAGAGAGAGAGACGCCTAAACTTGTATTCGCACACTCTCTCTCTACTTATTTATTTTTTGGGGGATTCCAACGGGCCTCCCCAATGCTCCTTACAAATTGCAAGTTATAAGTGGGTGGTAGCTCAGTGGTAAGGCGTGGGTTTCATAATGTTTGGGCCATGCGTACGAATCTCGGTTGTGCCGGTCAATTTTGAAGCTAATTAATTACGTTTTTTCAAAGCCGAGTTTATCAGGGAATGATAAATAGAGACAAAATTGACTTGTATCTACGATAAAAAACCAATTACTTCATTTTTTCCTCTATTTCAATCAATCATTGCTACATAGAGTGAAGGATTGGTTAAGTATTGGATCCCACCATCGGCTCGGATTTTACGTTCAAGTTTGAATCAAGGTGGGTCCAAGTTTGGCCCGGGCCTGGACTACTTTCATTTTCGCATCTTGGCTCAACCTTGGATCGAGCTCGACGTCCAAGCTTGAACTAGCGTTACAAAGCAGGAAATAACCAAGTTGGTCCAATCTTGAATTCCAAGCTTCAGCCAAGCTAGGTTAGTTTGTTCCGAGCTTGGACCAAGCTTGGACCAATCGTTAATCCCCACCTGGGTAGCACGAAAATAGAACATGACCATTACTTTGTATTTGGAACATGGATGGATTCCACATGGGATTAAATGGTATATTTTTCTAAGTGTTACATAAATTCCATTGTTTTTGGAAATATCTCAAAAGCGATTCAGTTCATAAAAATTTGAAGGAAACGCTGTTTAAAATCAAGCCAAATTATCACTGTTAAGAGTCGACGGAATTCGAGAAAATTCGGACACTTCGAGGGTTTCTTGGCAGGAGACAACGGACAAGCAGAAGCACTTATTCTTCCTACAACAAGTCATCCGAGACTCGTTCGAATAATTTCGTTGTCACTGCGCGTTCTCTTTAAACCTTGCGGACTAACTCCGCCAATTATCGCTTGTTTGAACATCAACGCGAACCTAAAACACAATACACACATTGACAAAAGTAAGGCATAAATTTGATGTTCGGCGATTCGACGAGTTTCTTTATTTTTTTTCGTTCAAATTCAATAACGTCCTGTAGAAAGTGTATATAATTTTGGACAGAGGACTTTGGTCCCATTAGTGCAGTCATTCTAGATCAAGAAATTGTCATTATAGAAGTAAAGTTTCTGGGGATGAAAATTATCCCAATCGATAGACTGGAGTTCCATTATGAACATATTCAAACGTATATGTTGACTTTTATCGGGAAAATGTATAATTAATTAAAAACAATCCAAGTTTTGCCCCAATTATGTTTCGAGCTCAGATTTTTCTCATCTGCAGCGTTTAATCGAGATGGAAAAAATCCTACTTTGTAGCTTGCAGAATTTTCTATCGAACGGTGTTGGGATGTTGTCGCAAAAAATGTGTAGTTGATTAACAATAAATTTAACAGCTGATTTTGACCGAACTTACGCCAAAGCATCAGCTGATTGTTCCGCTCCGTCGGAAAGATAATGGGCCAGTCATGTGATGCGCACTACGTACAAGGGATTCAAACTCCCGCTGCACTCCATTCTCGTTTTGACAATTGGCGAATAATAACCTGGCGATTATTACTTGGACTAGAAATTTTTCCTTGGAATTTTCATTGCTTCCAGCTAAACATGACCAATTCCATTGAATTTATGATGGAAAATATTTATTATCTTATTCATTGTGAATAATACTAGTGGAAATAATACGCAGAAAAGTCATATGCGAATATATACGGCGTCATGAATCGTCATGCATGATTAATAAACAGCCAGGTATAATTTCTTTTTTTTTCATTGAGATGTTGTTCACATCAATTATTGAACAGGATATTTTTAAATTTTTTGTTACTCTATTTTTCCCATTGTAATGTCCAGATTATTTAAAACGATCCCGCGAAATATTTTGATGAAATATTAGCCCAGGAAATATAATAGTCAAGTCAATGAACCGCCATCACCTAAAAGTTGAGAAATTCATAAACAATGCCCCCGGCCTCTGAGGAATGTGCAACGCGGCATTCCACCAAGGCTATTGCCACACGAAATTCGGTAAAATGCAGATTTTTATAAATTGAACAGGGTCGATGAATCAGGAGCCTACAGAGGTGGAAATCACGCCACGTCTCCCACTCTAATTAAATTATCAATTTCCCAAGGTAGAAACAGTAGGGCCTTCCGAAAAACACCAGTCTGAAAAAACCCGCTCACGAGCGACCTCCGACTTCTTTGCGAAAATACTTTTGGAATCGGTCCGGCCCTTGTTAGTTTTCGAATAAGAAGATTCGAAGAGTTCCTGAGTCATAGTCGGGAACATAAACCTATCAGGTCTTAGGGAATAATAGATCCTTAACCGAGAGTAAATTCGTTTCTTGCATGTTAAGAGAATTAGTAGTGAACCTAGGTGAATGGTGGGTGTGACTCAAACACAAACAATTATATCAGTTATTCATATTTATGATATACAGCCAGGATAAAATAATTTAAAACAAAAGCCTATCAACGTAAACAAGTGAAGACAGGTATTCCACTTACGTATCTGTAATAGTGTACTAATTGTCATCTGGCAGAGAAACGTGGTGGAATCACCCCAAGAATTAATAATTATACAATTAATAAACAGACACTGTGAATAATCCCTCACTATTACCATTATTACCACTATAAATACAACTATTACCACTTTAAACCAAAAATAGATCGCGAATGAGTGCAAGGTTATCCAAATTTATCATTAGTTCTAATCTTTATAATTATACGAAATATCCAACTTCTTTTCAATCAAACATCTTTTCAATATATACATAAGGTTGAATGGATCTAATGTCTTTTTTTTTATTTCATTCAACCATTTTAATTCACAATCCATTAACGATAGAATCAACTACAGGTAAGAATAAAAACGTTCAGAGTCGTCCGATTCAATAAAATTTACAAATTCTAGCTTTGAGAGAAAAGTAATGTCCTCCGACGCTATTAATATCTCCGGACCCAACACCATCCTGTCGTGAAAAAATCAACAAAATGCTGTAAACTTTGAGGCGATATGTAATTCTCTTTTCCTGTTTATAAACATTTTTTGCCATCTAATCGGAACATGAAAATAAGACAATTAATGAATACATTTTTCAAAATGAAATATAATAAATAAATGTTTATCATATGTACATCATATAAATTATAGACAGTATATTATATACATTGTATATGTAATAATATATCTTATAATATCTTTGCATTTTAAAATAGAAATATTGCAAACTAAAACACACTTTTTTTTCAATGGAATGAGTAATGAATTTTCAATGTCATTTTGAAAAGTGTTGAAAATTTTTCGAGAAAAAAGTTTGTTAAAATACCATCTCTCGAATCAAAATAATCAGTGAAAATAACGACCTACTTTTTCCAGAGTTTGCAAATGATCAAATTTTATTGCCAACAATTCACAAGTTACTTCTCGTTTGATAACCCCTAATAAACTGAAGTGCCCCTAATAACGTAAATCAGGGATGGGCAACCTCTGCTCTGAGAGCAAGTC